TGGGCGGGCGCAGGGAGGTGGGCGGCTCAACGCAGGAGCGCCCCCTACTGGCCCGCCACAGAGACAGAACTTAAAAGAGGGAGCCTCATCAATCTTTTAGCTCCCCGAAGGTACGAATAAGCCATAGTTACACAAACTTGTGTAACCATATCCTGAACTGGCTTTAAACAAGCTATGAGCACAGGCCACAAAACTCACATAGGAATCTAGATAACTATCCAGGGGATTAGTCCATGCTGAGTTCCTGCTATTGTCTACACTGTCACTGGTGCCTTAGTTCAAAGCTTGCTTTGATACATCTATGCAAGGTCCTGCCATAGTAGTTGCTAAGGTGCCTACAGTGAGCTAAGGGGGTATCTTTTTTTATATTTGGCTTATCCATTTTCCTTTAGACTTCTTGTCAAGAGAGGATTAATTAGCCATGCTAGCCTGAAGTTATGCAGGGCATTGTGGCACCTTGGTGCATTTATAAATGTGCTCTGGGAGTGGAAGGGTGCTTTAATTACAGCAGCTCTGAGAGCCACTAGAGTGTTGAGTGTATTAGTGTCCCCGTGCTGAAAAATGGTGGTGGGGGCATGTTAACTAAAGCTTGTTGACCCTTGCTGTTGAAGCAGGGATTCCACCCCCTCCCCACCACTCTCCCACAGCACAGACCCCAGCCCCACGGACCCGAGGCATGTGGTATGCTAGCAAATGCTGAAAGGTGTCTCTGCATGTCTCCATTTTCACTGGGACAGGCAGACAGAACAGTGACCACTTGGGGCTTTTTGGAGCTAGTCAACAGGTCAGCTGGTAAGCTGTTTAAGAAGAGTTTGAACTAATGGAAGAGAGGCTATTGTTTTGCTGATGAGGTGATAAACACTGTTATCGGTCCCCTGCTGGCTTGCTTGCCTGTCAGTTTGCAGCACACAGTATAAAGAAGCAGGGAGAGGGAGATTGAAAAGCTCCGTATCATCAATAGATGCATGCACTGCACACACCCCTTGGCTCAGAGTGCTAGCAGAGGGCTGGGATCTGGCAACACTCCCGCCCCTTAAGCAGGGAAAAGCCTGGGAGAGTGCAGGCAGGGTTGGGGTTTATACCCCTCCCTAATGAAAGTATCAGGCCGGGCAGGGCTTGGCCACACCCCCCCTCAGCTCAGCAGTGTGGAAGGGTAGGGAAGGCTGCTCTAGTGCCCCCCGGCTTCTAGCCTAAGCCACTGCAGGCATGCATCTGAATTTCCTCAGTCCAGAGAGAATCCGTCCAGTTACAAACCAGGTCAGCCTAGCCAGGTTAGACTAACCTGCAAAGATTGAATCAATTCAGGCTCAGGCTTTCTGAATGTCTGTCCCTAGCCTAGGCATTTAACACACTTTAATTTGTACATCCCAAGTTTAGTTGAATTTCTTCAACTTTCCTGAGTGTCCTACAGACGAACACCTTGCTGGGGTTGTTTGACCCCAGTACTTTTTCCTGCCATGGCAGGGGGTCGGACTTGATGATCTGCTCAAGTCCCTTCCGAACCTACCAACTATGAAAATATTTAAAAAACAAGAACTATTTACAAAACATCCTTTAAATTAGTTCCTGGCATGAATGACAAAACAGTGATTGACCACTCTACCTCCTGGGTATGCCCACTTTTCTCAGAATCAAAACTGGAGCTATTTTTGGTACAAAGACTATAGCTTGGCTCCAGGGCTGAGTCACAGAAGAAAGAGTTTATCACAAGGTTCAGACTGGTGTCCAGCTGGATACATCTTTTTTAGATAAGGTCAAAAGCCAGTAATGTTTTGCTTAACCATGAAGGGGTGTACCAAGTGGTAAATCTCATCCATTGATTCTTACAAGCAGCTTGATATGTTAGGTTGCTGAGACCAGTACCTGTCATGTTGACCTGTAATGTCTCATCGTTCCTTTAAACTCTTAATCTGTCTGTATCCGTTTGGTTAATCTTGTTTTACATTTAGTTTGTAAGCTCTTTGTGGCAGGGACAAACATACTGTTTTGAATATGTACAATGCCTAGCGCAGTAGGGTCCTGATCCATAACTAGGCCTCATAAGTGCTAAGACAATATCAACGATCATTTATCAATAACTCCATAGCTCACCTCAAACAGGGGAAAGACTCTTTTAGCTATGCATTAGAATAATACTATATGCTAGTTTTAAGAGGTGTCTAATCTGTCATCTTTGGTTAAATAAGAGAAAGTACATTGGTCCTGCTTTACTATCTTCCATGGTGAAAAAGCATTTGACAAGATCAGTTTCTATTTCATCTGAAGAGTTAAATTGTAACTACTAACTTACTAACTTTTAAAGTTGCTCAAGATTGAAAAGTTCTGCCCTTTAGACTCTAAGGGCATAGATAGCTAACATATATACCTAACCTGAACTCCAGCCAACCGACTGATTGCTTTTCTCCTCTCTCCTACCCTTCCCCAATCATTAATGAACATTTAAAAAAGAGCTCAACATACTACATAATACCTTGAAAAACTGTGAACTTTGAACATATTATCCTCTTCCTTCTTTCCTTTGTGTTCCAGAGTCCTTTCTCCCACACATTCTTAATAAAGTCAGCACAATTTTTTTAAAATTTTTTTTTTGGTGCAAAAGGCTGCAGGTATTTATTGATACCACTTCTAAGTCTGGCCAGGTAGGTCAGGAGAGGATAGCTGACCCAAGCATTTTCTTCCTGGGACTAACACACTTTTTCAGTTTTTCTTCCACTGCAGACTGTATACAGGCAACCCCCACTTAGCACTCTTAATTTGTTCCCAGAAAACTGAGCGTTAAGCAGAACAGCATTAAGCGAAACCCATTTTCCCATAGGAACTAATGTAAATAAATATAATTCATTACCAGGGTGCCCAGCAGCAGCGACGTGAGCAGCTGGTAGTGCAGGGCCAGCTTGGCCAGTGCCATGCCGTTGCCACCCATCTGGCCTGGGCTGTGGAGGCAGTGTTGTAGGTCCCCTCCATGCTGGGTGGTGAGCGGGGCTGTGGGGGAGGAGCAGTCATGGCCACTCTGGGCAGCGGGAGCGG